GGGGGAAGGCAAACGGCGTTTCCGTGTGCTGCTCTGGTTCGTCAGAAGCGGCTTAGTCATGCTGGCCACATGACCTGAAAGCTGTACGCTGGCTCCCTCGGCCAGTAAAGCGAGATGAGTGCCGCAACCCCAGAGTCGTTCGCGACTGGTCTTAACTGTCAGGGCTCCCTTTACCTTTAAGTATGCATTGGGCTGCAGCCTTTCAGGTAGGTTGCTTGCAGGTGTCAAAACCCATTAACCCCCCCATAGGTTAGGTGCACCTGACTTCCATAGGACTGAGCTATTGCTTGAGTGCAACCCCCATGAAGACAGTGGGCCCTATCCTGAGATTCACTTAGCTATGCATTGGCTCAGGCTGCATGGGGTACTAAAGACATAAAACTAAACATCAGGAATAACTTTCTGACAGTAAGAACTCTTCCTCGGGAGGTTGTGGGCTCCTTCCTTGGAGGGATTTTAGCAGAGGTTGGGTGGCCATCTGTCATGGATGCTTTAGCTGAGATTCCTGCATTGCAGGGGGTTGGAATAGATGACTCTAGGGCAGGGGTCAGCAAACGTTTTCAGCAGGGGGCTGGTCCACTGTCCCTCAGACCTTGTGGGGGGCCAGACTATATTTTTTTGGGGGGGGGATGAATGAATTCCCATGCACTACAAATAACCCAGGGATGCATTTTAAATAAAAACACACATTCTTTTATTTAAAATTAAATGTTAAAACAGAGAAATCCTAAGGTGATGATGAAATTCTGTGACAGAGATGTTTCCACTTCCCTGCACCAGGCAGGGCAGAAACACCCCGCTCCAACACCTCAATTTTCTAATTCTTTCTATTCAACCTTATTTTCAATTCCCCTCCCATTGACACCAAGAGCAGGAGACATAACTGCACAGCTGCAGGTGTGCCATATACTAGTTCGGCCTTTGTGTGGGTGTGTCAGGGGAACGGGTGGAATCTGGGTCTGGCGGGTCCAGTTTTTAGGTGTTGATGCATTGCAGTATATGGATAGTTTAGGTTAGAGCAGAGGTCAGCAAACTTTTTCAGCAGGGGGCCGGTCCACTGTCCCTCAGACCTTGTGGGGGGCCAGACTATATTTTGAAAAATAAATAAATGAACGAATTCCTATGCCCCACAAATAACCCAGAGATGCATTTTAAATAAAAGGACACATTCTACTCATGTAAAAACATGCTGATTCCCGGACCGTCTGCGGGCCAGATTTAGAAGGCGATTGGGCCGGATCCGGCCCCTAGTCCTTAGTTTGCCTACCCATGCTCTAGGCTAGGGGTTCCTTTCCAGCTCTACGATTCTATGATATACAGGTGGGAGGAAGGTCCACTGAAGGCAGAATGGGACTTACCGCGGGGAAAATAATAATTGCGGAGAATACAAACTGCTACAGAATCCAGCCACTAAAAACACCGGGGAGCTGAGCGCTCAAACCAAATACTATCAGACTGCCTCTTCGGGTTCCATTCATAAGAAGAGCGCTGGCGAGCGATTGGTCGCTTCGACGCAGAGGGCGTGGGCAGCCACCAGCGCCGCCGAGCCGATTGGCTGCTCGGAGAGAGTGGGCGGGGCTTCCCCGCGGCAGGGAGACGGTTGCCAGGGACGCCGCGGCCTCTGAGCCTGCGCAGCGTCGGCGATGGCGGGCATCGAGGGCGAAGACGCCAGCGCCACTTTGGACCACATCCTCACCCAGTTCAACACCTACGAGGATTACCTGGATTCGCAGATCACCACGCAGGACCTGTATTACTTGGAGGCGAGTGTCTGTCTCTGTATGTGTTTTTTTGGGGTTGGTGGCTCGCATTCCTGAGAGTCGAGAGGTCGCCCGAGCATGTGCAGAGTGCATTGCAACCCTGGAGCCCGGGCGGGGTAGGGGAGGAACCCCAGCAGCTTGAGGAGCAACTGCAGAGCAGGTTAACTTTTGCCCGCTCCCTGCTCTGCTTTTGCTGCAGTTCTTCTCCCTGAGGGGAGGGTAGACGGACAATCTCTTGAGGGCCAGCCCCCTCTGATACGCAGTAGCTGGGCTTCACGCCAGAATTTGCAAAACGGCCCCCCCCCACGCAAAAAAGCCCTTTTTATTATGGGTGAGGTGATTAAAAAGCAAGTGAAAAAAAGAAACACGCTGGGCTGACTTGAATTATTTTTGGGCTATTGAGGGAGCAAAGTCAGTTTTGGAATTTTTTTTAAAAAATGCTGGATAGTGAGGACAGGGGTATCGTTCCATTTACTGTGAACATCCTGCTGAATGTTTTCTATTGATGTCATAGTAGCCAACTTTTAGGGATCTTCACTCCCCCCCCCCCCAATTTTTGATGGGCATGGCCAGGCCCTCCCAAAACTGATGGGCGTTGCCATTCAAATGGTGTGCGTACACCATGTCATTTGATCAATTACGCAGGGCGGTTCTTAGCTGCTCCTCCGCCTCAATTTTACTCAAGTTGGCTCCACTGATTGCTGCAGTGGGTGGCTGGCTGTGTTAATATTCTATCTATATTGTATCTAGGGATGCGGGTGGCGCTGTGGGTTAAACCACAGAGCCTAGGACGTGCCGATCAGAAGGTCGGCGGTTCGAATCCCTGTGACGGGTGAGCTCCCGTTGCTCGGTCCCTGCTCCTGCCAACCTAGCAGTCCGAAAGCACATCAAAGTGCAAGTAGATAAATAGGTACCGCTCCGGCAGGAAGGTAAACGGCGTTTCCGTGCGCTGCTCTGGTTCGCCAGAAGTGGCTTAGTCATGCTGGCCACATGACCCGGAAGCTGTCTGTGGACAAACGCTGGCTCCCTCGGCCAATAAAGCAAGATGAGCGCCGCAACCCCAGAGTCGGCCACGACTGGACCTAATGGTCAGGGGTCCCTTTACCTTTACCTATATTGTATCTACTTTTATTTGTTTATTTATTTAATTTCTATACCGCTTTATATTTTTAAGAAAAATCTCAAAGCGGTTTACAGCATATTAAATCAACAATACATAAATAAAACAATGTGAAGAAAGTCAAATATAGAGTATACAGTCAAAGCAACATAACAGAAAACTAAAATATTATCTTAAAGATTTCAGAGTTAAACATTACAAAGGAGGTCAACTACAGAATACATATTTAACATAGTAGGGATGGGTGAGTGTAGGCCCCGCCCCCTAGGCCAGGTGGAAAGGACCTTGCAGGGAGCAGCCTTCACACTCACAGCCGGGCGATATTATGTACTTCCATCACACTATATCAAGCCTCTGTACAGTGTAAAGCCTGGTTTAAAATGTAATAAACAAACAAACATGGATAATCATTCAGGCAACTATTGATTATTATTATTCAGTTTCTTTATATCCCACTTTTCTGCATATATAAAACAATACAGTTAATATGTATTTTCAGTGTCAATGAAAGCAAATAAAACAGTAGGGAAGGAACAGTTTTCAAAACCAATCTTAAAGCTGGAAGAAAAGGAGCCTGTTGGATCTTACCATGGAGGTAATTTCATAGTTCTGGAGCCACCACCAAGAAGTTTCTGTCCTTTGTATCTGCCAGTCAAATAAAGATGGCTCAGAGAGCAGCCTAATCTTGCTGCCCAAGCAGGTGAGACAGTTCTTAAGATCACCTGGCGCCAGGCTATTAGGACTTGGCAAATACCAGCACTTTAAATTAAGCCTAGAAATTAATATGTAAGGAATGCAGTTGGTATAATATCCATGTAATCTGTTCTGACTGCCACATTCCTGGTAACAAGTTAGCAGCCAAATTTTATACCAGTTGTCGTTTCTGAACTGTCTCTTAAGGCAGCCCCATGGGGAGAACATTGCAGTACAGTGGTACCTCTAGATACGAACGGGATCCGTTCCGGAGCCCCATTCGCATCTAGAGGTAAACGTATATAGCGACGGCATGTCTGTACGCGCGTTGCTTTTTGCCGCTTCTGCGCATGCGTGTGACGTCATTTTGAGCGTCTGTGGCAAAACCCGGAAGTAACGCGCTCCGTTACTTCCGGGTTGCCGCGGAGCGCAGCTCGAACATGCTCAACTCGAAGCGTATTTAACCCGAGGTATGACTGTAGTCCAGTCTAGGTATAACCAGGGCACAGCAACTATAACGGTGCACAAGGTGTGACACAAACTGCCTAGCACAGTACAAGGTCTTCCCCTGCTTAACTGTGCCATTCTGAACAGCCCAGCCCTTTTCAAATGCTTTTCTGCCTTTCCAGCGGAAGTTGCCTGTTCACCTTTTGTCGAGCATTATTTCCTGAACTTAAGAAAAGAGTAATCTTCCCCAAAGAAAGTCCAGCTTTCAGCAGCAGAGACTAGTCCTGTCCCCTTTCCATTCTGTAGACTTGAGGAAAGTGCAGCTTCTGACTTTTACCAATAAAATGCTAAGTGCAAGACGCATTATCCTCCGGGGGTGAAAGTCAGTTTTTGGAAAAAGTCCCGACATAGTTTAATCCTGCAGGTTTTTATTATCTCCTCTCTCCTCTTCTGACTGCACATCATATCTCGTCCTTGCCCTTCATTAATCTCTTTTTGTTCCCTTGTTCCCTTTCCTGTGGCTTTCCTTTTTCGTTTTCTCTAATATGCTATGCCATGTGCTTTGACAATGAGACTCCAAGGGCGAGCATGTGGTGCAAGCGTCTCCAAGAGATATTTAAGAAGATTGCGGAGAATGTGGAGGAAAGTTGGGGCAGGCAAGGGACTAGAAAGGGGAAGAGATGAGTCATAAGACTGACAGGACAACTGACAGCTTAAATCAGGTGTGAGGATGTACACGGGTTAGTCTTAGAATTAGATATATTAAATATAATTAGCTGCTTCAGTGGAGCAGTGAATTAAGAGCTCACTGCAAAAACAATCTTTCCGCGTGGTTCTTTATGAAGAGGAATGCTAAGCTCTGCTCTTGAGATTAAAAATGTGGGAATATGAAGGATAACAAAATTGGAAGGCAGTTTTGGAGCCATTGTGCATTGGCATTATTTTTCTCCATAACAGTAGAGTTGGAAGGCATACGCAGTTGTCCCATACGGGGATCAAACCTGCAACCTTGGCATTGCCAGCGCTATGCTCTAACCAGCTGAGCTGTCAAGGAAGTGTTTGCTTTAGGCCAGGTTTGGGGGACCTGTGGCCCTCCATAATTTGGTGAACTCCAATCCCCTTCAGCCAGTGGTCAGGGATGGTGGGGGTTGTAGCTGAACAACTTCTAGAATGTTGCAGGTGAGCTGGAATGTGTCCCTTTATTTAAAACAGCTGGTGCCCAACCACATCTAAGTTCCATTTCCCCAAACAGCTGGTGTCATTTCACTGATGGGAAACAAAAAATGCCATGCCCCATCAGTGAAATGGCACCAGCTGTTTGGGAAAATGGGACATAGATGTGGTTGGGCATTGGGGTAGACAGTTCAGGGGTCAGCAAACTTTTTCAGCAGGGGGTTGGACTATGTTTTGGAAAAAAATATGAACGAATTCCTATGCCCCACACATAACTCAGAGATGCATTTTAAATAAAAGGACACATTCTACTCCTGTAAAAATACCAGGCAGGCCCCACAAATAACCCAGAGATGCACTTAAAATAAAAGGACACATTCTACTCATGTAAAAACATGCAGATTCCCAGACCGTCCACGGGCCGGATTTAGAAGGCGATTGGGCTGGATCTGGCCCCCAGGCCTTAGTTTGCCTACTCATGGGGTAGAGGATTTGTAACTGAATCATTCTGGTCTTCCCGAGTGCTTTTTTTACCTGGAGGTAGAAGAAGGGTTTGGATTTGATATCCCGCTTTATCACTACCCGAAGGAGTCTCAAAGCAGCTCACAATCTCCTTTCTCTTCCTCCCTCCCCTCACAACAAACACTCTGTGAGGTGAGTCTCAAAGCAGCTCACAATCTCCTTTCTCTTCCTCCCTCCCCTCACAACAAACACTCTGTGAGGTGAGTGAGGCTGAGAGACTTCAGAGAAGTGTGACTAGCCCAAGGTCACCCAGCAGCCTCATGTGGAGGAGTGGGGAAGCGAAACCGGTTCACCAGATTACGCCTCTACTGCTCTTAACCACTACACCACACTAATCTGCCCTCACCCCCAGCTTTGGTGTCATCCCCCTCCCCCTCAGGCACCTTTTTCCTAGAAAAAACCCCACTTGTCTTCTTGTAGCTCAGACCATTTGTACTGTGAGTAGTGCGTTATCAGTGAGGCATGGATGTTAGGATCTCATGGACATATGCCACTCTCTGCCCCCTCCACAGAGGCTGTTCACGTTCTTGTGGAAAGTGCCTACTGTGGGATGTGAAACACAGATAGCAGTCAAATTCAACATTCCTAGAGCGGACATGAAAGGGGATGTTTGCACCAGCCAGTAGAAAACTTCCTGTTTCCTCCTGGGCTGGGACAAACTTCCTCTACATGTGCCCAAAGGTGGGTGTTGTCTTACCTGTGCAGGTAACAAAATAGCACAGTGCAAGCAGCCATCTCTCTCTCTGACTCCATTCCTCGAAGAAGCAACATCTCCTTAGCTTGAGATGCTCTCTTGGCTTCCAGCCAAGGGAGGACAAAGGAACTATCTCCTTATGGGATAGATTCCACATGTATATACTTTTGTAACCTAAGTCCGCCTTCAGGGATCCATCTGTGAACTGAATGTGAGTAAACGTCTTTTATACTTTTTACACAATATTGTGTCGTGTCTATTTTTTTTAAGGGGGAATAAAGGGGATTACCAGGAATCTTATATTGAGAGGCTAAAACTAGTCTGCCACAAGCTAACCGCTGTGTATTTAAAAGGGGGAGTGTTAGAACTCTGCTAAGTTATAGAACTTGCTAACGCATATATTGCTAAACAATATATCCTCTCCTGTCTCCCTGAACATTCCCACACCTACGTGATCCAGGGAATCCACAGGATCCAAACATACATATAGCGTTGATGCAGCTACAAGCAGGATATTTTGAGGCAGCAACCATGCTTCTAAGATAATGCGTGAATTAGAGCCACGTTTGCATGTGAGAATAGCCTAGAGTTCCTGGGGTACCATGGGTTGTTGTGTATGAGCAGTGTGCTTGTGCATACTGCCTGCTCGCTCCTGCTTCTCTCCTCCCTTGGTGTAATTGGGAGAAATAAACCTGGAAGTTCTAAGTAAGCTTGGCATACCATTGCACCTGGACTCTGGATTGTGGCTCCCTAACGAGCCAAGAGATGTAAGCCAACAACAGACCATGGTTAAAGGCTGGCTAGCTATCCTAACTGGGTAGGAATCAACCAATTGGCAGCCCAGCAAAAGTTAAAGCAGTGAGTAGATAGGATGGAGGAAGTGACAGTTTGCAGACTGATATGGGGAAAATGAAAGGCAGGTTGGCAGGAGGGGGAAGGAATATAAAGAACCTGCTACAGAGTGCTGTGGGGTAACTGAAGACAGCAGTGCAGATTGGTGCTGTCGACAAGGGAAATATCTATGGGGAATGTGGGGGCCAGGGACCGGTGTTACATTACGCTGCCTAGTTGTGCTGGAATGTGGGGTTTCTCTTGTAAAATCTCGGGGGACAGACTTAGTGGGGCTGATCTGGAGTCAAGTCTGTGGAAATGAATTGCTTATGCTAGCCAAGGTGTGAAGTTTTGCATCTTTGCTAGATGACATGAACATAAGATTCACATAAATTATGGATGCTGACTTATGGTATTATCCAATATATAGAAAGCAAAGGATGACTGTGCGGCCGCCATGCTCACAATTTATTTTCTGTCCTTGGTGATAACCCATAATTCCACCTTGGCTGCCTTTTGGCCCCTGGATTAGCGAACTGGGGAGTGAAAGAACTTCTGGGTGATTGGAGCAATCCTATTTTAGCCTACGTTGCATAGTCTTTATTATTTTCATAAGTCTATTTGTAAATGCGTGCTCACGTTTAGAAGTGCCTAGAACAAAGACTTTAAAAGGACTGTATTGTGCTAGGCTTTATGAATAGCTTAAAATCAACCCACCACTTTTGAGTCTTATTTCCAGCAGGGAGCCATCAAATCCCAAATTGCTCCTGCAATCAAAGTCAAATCGGCAGGCTTTTTTGCTGAGCTTTGCCAAGTATGCAAGTCTGCTCACTGGGATGGAAAGCAAGCCAGGCATTCACATTTCAGCTGAAGTTTCTTGGGTCACAGTATGCAAAGGGGGGATAATGCTTAGTGTGTTGTCTGAATCCAGGGTCGTGGTTCAGGTCTCCCTATCTTAACCACAACCTATAAGCACAGGACAAACCATGGTTAGTTATTGGTTATGGAGGAGAGATCTTAACCACATCTTGGCTTCAGACACACTAACCCAAATCTTAGCATAGTTGCTGTGCTGACCTAACAAATCTGGGGAGGAGTAAAATGGCTGCAGTCTTCTTGGGAGTCAGTGAATTTGAACTAAACCATGGTTTGTCTGTTCAGGGAAGTTTTTAATGTGTGACATTTTGATGTATTTTTGATCCTTGTTGGAAGCCGCCCAGAGTGGCTGGGGAAACCTAGCCAGATGGGCGGGCTACAAATAATAAATTATTATTATTATTTGTCTCAGCTTGACATGTGACTGTGGCACCTGCCTGTTCTTTGTTCATGGGCCTTCATTTATTTATTTTTTAAAATGTGCAAAGCATCCATATCCTGCTTGTCCAAAATATTAAGGGCAGTTAGCAAAAAAACCAAAGCAAAGAAATACAATAGGTAAAGGTAAAGGGACCCCTGACCATTAGGTCCAGTCGTGACCGACTCTGGGGTTGCGGCGCTCATCTTGCTTTACTGGCTGAGGGAGCCGGCGTACAGCTTCTGGGTCATGTGGCCAGCATGACTAAGCCGCTTCTGGCGAACCAGAGCAGTGCATGGAAACGCCGTTTACCTTCCCACTGGAGCGGTACCTATTTATCTACTTGCACTTTGACGTGCTTTCGAACTGCTAGGTTGGCAGGAGCAGGGACCGAGCAATGGGAGCTCACCCCACCGTGGGGATTCGAACCGCCGACCTCCTGATCGGCAAGTCCTAGGCTCTGTGGTTTAACCCACAGTGCCACCTGCGTCCCTGAGAAATACAATAGACTTAGATAAAAAAAAATAAAATACCAATACTTTCATAAAAGGCTCCTTCTTGGGTTCTTATCTCTGGCGGTTTCTTCTCGACTCACAGTAACGACCCCGATCCAGCAGTTCTGTGACGCTGCAGGAAAGTGCCCTTCCCCAGCTCTTCCTTTTGTGATTGCTGGGTTGCGGAAAAACTGTCTTCAGTGCCCACACGCCACAAGCTGTAACATGCCTAGAAGGATAGATCTGTTGAATTAAACTGGGATGGTTGTTCTTCAAGGTTGCCACTAGGTGGAAATGTTATTTCACTTTTGTTTAAATGGAGCACTAAGAAGGTTGGCAGCTGGAGAAGATTGCTGTACGTTGCAGAAGTGTGGGCTTGAGCAGTCTTGCCCTATAGCACTGCTCCATAGTCGGTGATTGACAACCCATATCATGCCTGTCAAACCTCACCCACTGTTGCCCCCCTCCTTCCTTTGGATTATTGATAGAGTGATGTGCAGCCTATATCCCTAATTTTCAGAGCAGCAGATGCAGAGCAAGTTTTCTGCACCACCAAACTAATTTTGAGGTGTGGCAGCTGTCCTCCTCCACCCCCCACCCCCCGAATCCTACCTCTTAGGTTTCCCCTTGATCCTGCACATATCATAGGCCACAGGGCTGGAGCGGTGGCAGCAGCAAGATTAAAGCTTTGACCACCATTAAGATGCCTCATAGACTTAAATTAAATATTAGGAATAGCTGCAGAGATAGTGCAGGATAGTGCGCACCCCGGAAATTATCTCTTTCAGCTTCTGCCTTCTGGAAGAAGGTACAGGGTTATAAAGACTAGCACTAGCCGCCTGAGAAACAGTTCTCTCCAAATGCGATTTTGGTTTCAAACGCAGTGTAAGGTAGTCTCTTGGGACACGGGTGGCGCTGTGGGTCAGAGTCTAGGGCTTGCCAATCAGAAGGTCTGTGGTCCGAATCCCCGCGACGGGGTGAGCTCCCATCGCTCGGTCCCTGCTCTTTGCCAACCTAGCAGTTCGAAAGCACGTCAAAGTG